ATATATATATATATATATATAAATGGATTAAGTAATTTATCCCATGTATTGATGTGAAGTGAAATTTCCTAACGTCCCGTGTTGTTATAAACAGTGCCCGCGTTCTACACTACGCCGTTTTTTTTATTCTTGCAAAAGTTAATTGAAAAACCGCCAAAATTCTTACCGCAGCTAATATGAATTCGTATTTCGAACCGGCTTCCGGCTTTTACGGCCATCCGCATCAAGCCACGGGCATGGCTATGGGTTCAGGCGGGCATCACGATCAGTCGGCCACCGCCGCTGCAGCGGCCTATAGGGGATTTCCCTTATCGCTGGGCATGTCGCCGTATGCTAATCACCACCTACAACGCTCCACTCAAGATTCACCGTATGACGCTAGCATTACGGCTGCCTGCAATAAAATCTACGCAGATGGCGGTGCTTATAAGCAAGATTGTCTTAATATTAAAGCTGATTCTGTTAATGGTTACAAAGACATTTGGAACACGAGCTCAAATGGAGGAGCTGGCGGTGGCGGCGGCACTGGTGGCGGCGGCGGAGGTTCGGGTGGTTCGGCGAATGGTTCAAATAATGCCGCCAATGGCGGTCAAAATAACACAGCTGGCGGTATGCCCGTAAGGCCTTCGGCCTGTACACCAGATTCGCGGGTAGGCGGTTATTTAGATACTTCCGGCGGTAGCCCAGTGAGTCATCGCGGTGGCAGTGCTGGCGGTGCCGGAGCTGGTGTTGCTCAAAGCGGTAATGTCGGAGTTGGAGCGGCCGCAGGCGGTGCGGCCACAGCATGGAACGCGAATTGCACAATATCGGGAGCCGCAGCTCAAACGGCAGCCGCCAGCAGTTTACATCAGGCCAGTAATCATACATTCTACCCCTGGATGGCTATCGCAGGTGAGTCGAAATATGGTAAATATTAACTTTTTCTAAGTAAAGATCCGATTTTACACGCTTTTACAAGGAACGAGTAAAAATTGCAATCAATAACGAAAAACTTTGATTTACATAAGAGTTTTGATTATGGAAATGAGTTGGGCTCCAACTTGATGGTTAGATGGACAGATTAGATAGTAAGCAATTTTTAGCAAAACTATGCTTTTTGATGTTTTGTGTGAAGCAGAAAAAAAATTCCTAATAGAGTTAGTTACCAAGAAAATAAGTGAAGATTAATTTATTTGAGTATTTATTGAAGTATTTATGCAAAAAACTTCTTCCAAATTCTGACGAGTATGCAAGTAAGAAACCTTAAGGGACTTTGAGTTGTATTTTCTCACTTTATAGGATAGAATGCAGTAGCTCTTCTCAATTATATATTTGTGTCCAGCAGAGCTCTATATTATTTATTTTTTTCTAAAGCGACGCTCAATTTTAGGGGTCGGATGCCATTCAGTCTAAACAGCGACCTATGTACTTTAAAAAGAAACACTTGCAGCAGATTAACAGTTACGTAGCCAAATAGAGAATGCTTAGAAAGCCTTATTAGAATATTATGGCGAGACGGTAGCGTCATGCTAAACAAATGTCGAATACAGTCAGTGCCTTTAACGGATCAAGAAAATCAACATTCTGTGCCGCATTTGAAGTTATTGTCTGAGGTAGCTTAGAGCACCAGCTTACAGGGTATCATGGGAAACTTTGCCATCTCCAATTAGAAAACGTCTTCCGTGGGCGAATTCGAAGAAGCTTAACAGCAACATAGAAATGAACTCCAACCCAAATGATGATAAAATTAATTAAAACAATTAATCTCCCTGCTACAAAGGCAATCGAACGACTTCTTTTTTTTGCATGTAAATGCGTTTCTTAACTTTCCTAATAAAGACTATTCTCGTTACCTTCAAATTGAACATTTTTCCAAGTGGGCATAAAATCTGAGTCTTCGATTGGACTAGTTAGGTTCTTAGGGAAGAAATGTTTTCCAATATCTTTGAAGAAACATTTTTCAACAACTCAAGCATGTTTTCATTCATGCATGAAAATGACAATTTTCTCATCTCAAAGAAGACAGAAGACGTCAGTCTAAAGAATTTTTGTGAAATTTTGGAAACGACTTTCTTCTTGTCTGCTTTAAAGAAGATATTATGTGTCTGCGTAGAGTACTTCTTAATGGTGAGAGAGTCGAAAGGGTCACTTTCACGGGTCATGAGAATGATTCTTCCCATAGCGAATATTCTTTTGATAGTGAAGTATGACGTAAAAATTGACGATTCAATTGAATGAATAATTTCAATAAAAGTAAACTATTAACCACTCTTCTCGTATAAACATATATTTGTTTGTAATTGGTCCAACTATCTGTGACATATACGTTCATCGGCCTTTCTTCTAGAGAAAAAAGTTTCATCTACACATCGTAGCGTATGAGTTATATATTATGAATGCAGAAAGGGACTTGTCTCAAGCAAACGATTCTGAGTAGATTTGGCGAAGACATTGATAGAGCTCAGCAAATTTTTACACATATAATCCAGAAGAAGAAGGTATGCAAAATTCTAAAAACTTCTTCGTTGACATTTTACAAAAGTAATATCTTCAAGACCGAGAAATGTTTATAAGAAATTTTCTACCCTATCTGAGTCCCTTTTTTCTAACGAGAGCACGGCTTAGCTTCAAATTTCAAACTATGAAATATGTGACAGAGAGACGGTTAGAATTTGGGAAGAATTTTCTTAACTACTCCTACTTACCTGCCGAAAGCGTAAGCAATCCGTAAGGTCTCAAGATAACTTTGTTTTACAAGCGAAACGGTGAAAAGACAAAACATTTCTAAGCGCCGTCGGTCGAAAAACTTCCAATATTTTGAATGTGAAAAAAAAGCACTCAGATAGAAAATGGAGTAAACCTTCTTACGAAAGTAGAAGTAAGCTAACGGCAAAAAAAAGAAACTCTTCTATCTCTCTCGAATGATGTTTAAGTTAAAAGTAAGTGGAAATTAAATTAAAACTCAAAAGAAAAAAAAAAAAAAAAAAAATAGAAAATCGCGCTAAAGCATAACAGATTTATGTCATAATTTGTCGCTCTGGGTGGCTGGAGTAGCGACAACAAAAGAACCGAACAAAAAATATAGAATAAATAGAACAAAAACTACTATAGTAAAAAAAAAAAATAAAAATAAATAAAACTATTACATATGAGTATCAACAACACTTTGTAATGAACACCACAGTTACACGCGTGAACAACACGGTAACTAAGTGAAAATAGTGAAAACAATCCTTTTTTTTCGGTTTTTTTTTGTATATGCCCTTCTACCACAACAGCATAAGAGTGAATGTAGTGACGCAAAATCTACTCTATTGTCGGTAGAACACTAAGTTTGCTAAGGATGTAAGCAGGCATTAGGCAAAAAACCGATCGCTGTAAGCAAACATTCTATAACTGTAAGCATAAAAAAGAAAGTACAGAAAATATTATGGGACACTGAACCTTTTCGTCCGTTTTAGGCAAAAATAACTCCAATAACTCCAATAACTCCATTAATATTTTATTACTTCTTAATTAATCTTAGGTTCAACTAGCTCTGGTATTCGAAATTCGTTTTAAGCCAACTTCTCTTTTACACTGCTTTGTTTTTGCGTCATCACCATCACCATCGTCATCACAGAGCTCATAAACCATTTAACTGCAAACTGTGTTTCTTGCTGACACTACTTGCATTGCTTTACTTGCTTGCTGCTGGTTTTAAGTACAAGTTTTAGTTTAGTGCTTGACTTTGGTTTTTTGTTTTTTTTTCCTTTGCTTTTTCTCTCTTTGTTCTTATTTTTGTCTTTAAGGTCTTCACTCATAAAAGGTAGCCACCACCACCACCACCACCACCACGGCATGAACTGATTACTTTTGCTGTGCTGTGCTACTGTTAACTCTTTCACAAAACACTATTATATAATTATTAGAACGGCAGCAACTTAAACAATTGTCGCTTAATTCAACCAGCACGAGGTTGACTACAGTTATGCAGTACGTAGAAGACAAAAAGGATGCTTAGATACAAAACCCTTTGCAGTTCCTTAAGTTTCTAATATTTATGCCACAATACATGGGTTTATTATTAAAGCGTTAACATGCGCATAACATTAATGAATTTCTGGCTTTTTTCTTTTTCTTGCATATAAAATTAAACCTTTAGTTAAAGTCTCGCTTGACCGAGTAAATATACGTGTAGATTACCTTTTCTTCTACGGCCAAAATATATCCTTCGAATGTGTGCTTGCAACGCAAGAACCCTGAAAATTATGTATGTTTTAGAATAACGATATTTCGCTACTCTCGATGCCTACATCTTAAATTCGGTTTCCACTATTCTTCGATAAGTTTTTCTTAAAAATAATTCAATCGAGTTTTAATGACAATGCAAGCAGATTAGTTGGTCGGTTCAAACCCGAAACGCTTGTATCGCTTAAATGAATCTTCATTTCGTACTTCCATGCTAGTTGTGTAGCGGCATGGCAAGATCCCCTCTCATTTCTTGATATGTCGCAAATTGAAATTGCAGCCATCACCTGGTAACTAAGGATGACATATAGTTTACAACATGATTCAGAGGAGAAAGTCGAAGATTGTTATTAGTTTTCGTCGAAGTGACAAAGTTCTTCTTTTTACACAAACCTTGACGACGGTCAAGGATCACGACAAAATTGTTTTGGCATAACACAAGAGTGCAAATGTAATTGAAAACATCTTGTCAAACAACAAGAATTTGATAAAAAGTATGGTAAGATGACTCAGAGGAAATTTGTTGTAACTTGAAATTTTTTTTTTTTTTCAATGCATATGATCCAATCACTTCGGGTGTCGCGTAACACGGTGACGTTCAAAAAGAAGTTAGCCAAAGGAAAAAGATGAGGAGATGGCGGCCACAGGCTAACGGGTGTGCTCTCATTCATTAAGTGCTATCTATGCGTTTACCAGCTGAGTACTCACTAAAGCTGCGACCAAAGCGAACTCTATCGCACTTGAGACTTGACTTAAGCCGACTTATTTAATATGGTGTTAGAAGTTCACTAGCGACTTACATATTGTCATAAAAGTCCAAAACCAGGGCATGTCCTATGCAGAGATCAGTTTCCTATCTGCAGTTTATTAACGAAATTACTGTCGTCTTAACCAGTTAAACTTTTCTTAAGAGAAAAGTATTTTTTTTAAGAGAAAAGTATTTGAAAACACAAAAGTCACTTTTTTACTTTATATGTATTTAAGTGACATCAAAGTTCCGCAGTAGGGTAATATGAGCCAAACATGCGATTTTCAACTGAGAAAAATAAGTTCAATGTCAATTATTTAGATGTTGTGCGGAATTTCTGCAAACTGAAACTTGAGACGATCAAATTTTATGGCGTGTATGTGAGAAATCCACCGGAGAATTTCAGAGAGGTAGTGACTTCTTTTTCTTGAACTCACTTCATAACCTGCTGGCCACTAACTAAGTTCCCACCAACCGCGATAACTATTACAAGATTGAAAGTCGGGGCTTGAGACGTTCCTTGAGATTATAAATCTACAATGAGTAGCAGAATCGCGGCTACCAGCTAGTTAGTGTTTGTGGATCCAAGTCTCAGCGCGGTAGAGTTTATCCTGACTGAAAGAGTTCTCAGTGGCTAAAGGCATACCGCTTACCACCAGTTGTGGCGACCACTTTCCCATTTCTTCCTCTCTTCTAACTTCTTTCTTATCATTACCCCTTGTTGCACGAATAGAGGATATACCCTGAGTGATTGATTATATTAAGAAATAAAAATAAATTGAAATGATCTTAGCCGTCTGCGAAGAGGATTCCAAAAGAGTAGAAGAGTGTTTACATAAAAATACAATAGACAAACAAGATACCTAAACACTGGTTGGATACCGTTGATTAATTATATAAAAGTTGAGCCCAAATTTTTTTAGTTATTTGTTGCCCACCTATGTGCTATGTTTGCGATTGTTTCCTAAAATATTCTCACATATATTTGTTTTAGATTTTAAACTGAACTTTACCTATATTTTCAAAGCTTAATTTTTTTAAATTATTTTGCTTTTTTATGAAACAAATGTGGAGAGCGTGGCGTCACTTCGATTTTAAAATTTGATTTGAAAAGTTTAGGAAATATACTCTAAACCTTGGATTTCCTGCTCTCAATTTTTCAATAAGTTTGTTAAAGGCACTGCGGTCGGACGGACACACCTTCAAGATATATGACACAATAATCGGTTCTTTACGCTACTAACGAATTACCAAAGTTAATCCGCATTCTTGCGCGTACCGAGTGAAAAGAAAGTCCGTTGAATTTTCAGATAAGCGCTATGACTTGTAAATAATTTACTCTATAACTATAATATCGTGTGTATCAAGTATATGTATGAGCAGCAACTCCGACCAAACAAAAAAAAAAAGAAAAGAAAAAAAAACAGAAAAAGTATTCTTAAATTATCAAATTCTATAAATGTATAATTTACGTATAGTGAGTTCTGACCGTAAGGTCATCGCTCGAGTTGATAATTTCAGTGTAGCCGATATGTTTTCACTATTTTTGAAATGTTTGACGCACTTCAATGGAATATTTTGAACTTTTCTAAAGAAAATAAATTGAATTTGTTATACGAAAAAAAAGAAAAGTAATCTTCAGTTATTGTTATTGTTATTGTTCCAGTAAATGAAACGGTATTTTTGTTCTCAAAATAAATTACAGAAAACATGTCGCTGTCATCGGCAATTCACACATTGTTGTTGCTTGCGCAGCAAAAATTTATGTAGGTTCACTACTCAATTTATAAAGCACGTCTGTTGACCACCCACGTAAAATATGTCCGACGCTTGACATGCTGGGGATGCGTTACGGCTTATTAAAAAGCTACTCATAATTTTCTTTCTTAACGCTCGTACACATACACCACAACCACTACCACAAACCGATCACTCTGTCTTTTTTTTCGCATACAAAAAAAGCAAAAAAAAATATTACTTTATACGTAAACGGTGCACAAAAATATTTAGCCAAAGGCCAAAAGAATGCAAGCGAGGTCTTTAAACCTTTTTCATATGCGTATGCATATAAGCATTAGTAGAGTAACTGATATTGATAACAAACGAAATGGAAAATAATGTTTGCATATGAATAACAAAAACAAGGAAACAGAAAAAGGAAAACGAAAAGTTATATAATTTTATTGCTGCTTATTAGCAAAAGGAACAACTGTTACTGTTAAGCTCACTCTGCATACTCTAGTTCTAGCGATTCTTTAGGACATCATTTCAAATGTCATAAAAATCATTATATACATATTTATATATATATATATATATGTGCGTAGAAGAGAAACCTTTAAGAAAACACTTACCCTGCTTTTTGGTTAACACACGTTAAAACAATGATAATAGTGATGATGATGATGGTGATGATGATGATACTGATGACGATGATGGCTGTGTAATGCGAAAGAAAAATTTGCCATCTTCGCATTGATGATGATAAGCAGTGTATAAGAATTTTCAATCATTCTACTTGCTTCCATCCAGCCTCCATCAGTCGCCGCCGCCTAGTTGTGTGGAAAGAAAAATAATCAGAATTATAATTATATAGTGATGGGCAATAAAACAAGTTTTTTAGCCATAAATAAAACATTGTAAAACAGATTTTTGTTGTTTTTTGTTGTTATTTTCGTTAGCTTTTATCACAAAAATCTCGGCCAACGATAAACAATGACGCAAAGAGATCCCGTACTCAGAATCGCTGAACTGAAAGGTAATCAATAGTATAGAAATTTCAAGAAAGTACGTGCGCGCGTGTGCACATGAACTCATAAACTCATAAACTCGTATATTCGCGCTATGTGACCCAACCTTAATAAGGCAATAAATACATTTAAATTTTTTTTTATATTTTATTTTTTTTCTTTTTTCCTTAGTTGCATAGAGTGACATTATTCGGTTTTCCAATTGGTTTCTTTTTTTTTTTTTTTTGTCTTTGGGTAAAGCCTACCTGATCTGTCGCCTTTAGTGTCGTAAGTCTTATGACTGATATGAATCAATATTCTACCTGTTATCTCATATTTTATATGTCATAATAGATAATTGGCTGGTATAACGCTAGATGGCGTTTCCTTTCTTCCGCAGTTTCTTAATGGATTTTTTTTAAGGGAGATTCCTTATCTTATTGCATATCAATGATCGTAAATTCAGCAGTTAAGTCAACCCTTATTATCATTATTCACCACTTCAATATGAATAATGTTTAAACCAAATACTACTGGAATAAAACTGAGGACATATGATGAATTTACTTTAAATTGAAATTCGTTACCTCTTTTCATCGGAAGGTATACTAAATTTGTTATTCGGCATATACACTGCACCCTCCTATAACACGGGTTCATTTACGACAGAAAAGTGTTAAAGCGGTAAAATTGTGATTATGTAATGCGGTAAAAGAGTGAAGCAAATATTGAGTTTTTATCGCGCTTTTGCTTCAATGTATGCAAGGATTAAGTCCATAAAAGAAAAGATGGAAAATACGCTTTCATAAGTCTTTCTACACAGCTTTTGAAAAAAAAAGCGTCAATTCTTCGGCGACTAAGGATCTTAATCCTGATATTTTCAATATAACAAGCAAGTTAATTCCTTTGGTCTCACCTAAACGCTTGACCCAAGTGACTCGTATAATACGCATTCTTAGAACGCGTACTCATAAGGCATGGAACGTATCTACTGTGTTATAAGGGGCTTTAGTGCAATTTTATTCTTATTATTTCTGGTTAAATTATGCAAGTTCCTTCCATTTGCATAACTTTACCAAAACAAAAGCAATCTCTTTTAGAAAATAATTAATGAAAACGATTACCCCCCACATTGGATACATGTTAGTTTACAATTTTATATAAGCGGCACAATTGAGAACTATCTTGGGCATTAAAATGCAATCACCTTAAGAGATGGAAGAACCCAAGAGGAAATTGAAAGAAAATAAAATCGTTCATTCCACTGACAACCTTTAAAAATGCACCGCAGAGGACCCAGTGAGTTTTCGCCGAAACTCATTTAGCTTCATACGCTTTGAAGGGATTTAATTTCAAAAGTGTCGTTAATTATGTTCAGCCCTTTAGTCCTTAGATAGTGAAAGCACACAGCAACCTAAGGAAACTGGACAGTTTCAATATCCTCTTCGATACATACTCCCATAGATATACGAGGTGTGCTCAGAAAATATTTTAATTTATTCATGTTGTCCCCTTCAAAGTGATTGCCCTTAGGTATGATTCACTTGTGCTAGGGCTTTTCCCTATCCTCGAAGTACTTTCACTTTATGACTATCAAAAACAAACTAAAAATGCAAAGTAGCTGATAATGTGCACATATTCTGGAGCCAAGTGTACCAACATAGCAAAAAAAAAATTTGAAGGTCGAATGTTCGGAGTTCACGAAATTTGAAAAGTCACTTCTTTTTGCGAACCCGCCTCATATATTTATTCTCAAAGCGATATTGATTAACGCGTTAAAACATTGAAAGGTCAGAACAAATACAGAGATTTTTAGTTACCTAAGATGGTAGAATACTAGCTGTCAACTTTAGCACTCTTAATAATATCGATTAATAATTCTCGGGAGCAGTTAAGAAGCAGAACTTTTTTCTTCCAAAATTTGCGTTTTTTCAGCAGCTTTTTCTCCTACAAGCGCCATGAAAGCAGTCAGACACTCCGCTCACATTTCATAGATGGATTACATTAGCTTGCAACTGGACTGTTTTAACTGTTTGTCCGAAGTCTTTTCAAGTCAATGCTGGCAATGTTTTCCAAAAAAAAAAAAGAAAAAAAAAACTCTTAACACATTTTTCACTAAAGAACGGTAACTCGTAAATAAATGAATGAAATGACATGACTTTTTTATATTTGCCTAAAGTGCCGGATCTTCTTTTACGGATTAGCACTTTCTGAGGCTAATGTCGATATTTGTTTGGAGACGAAATCTACGCCCCGGTAGTTATTGTGACCAATAAGTCATGTCTTCTTCTTCGAATCTGTTCTTTTAAGCGATGCAGCCATCATCATCTGTTCTGCGTAACATCTTTCCTTGTAACAGAAGGCCTTAGTGTCCATAGTGTTAATATAATATTGATTCTATTTTGTAAAAAGGTCGGAGAGGTTGTTTTCAATAATTTATAAATGTCGATCTCGAAGTTTCTCTTTCCTCAAGTCTTTCCGTCTGCCGCCGTAATCACATGAGTAGAGGACATCCCCTGAGTGATTGGTCATATAATCCAAAAAAAAAACTTGGCCTCTCCATTGAAAATTTTTGCCATCATAACACATTAGTAATGGACGAAATGTTATTACTTAGCGGATTTTGTCCAAAAATTTTGAAAATTTTTCATATAACGAAATTTTCAAAAAGGAGCTTTTTTATGGGGGGAGCAATACGGCGAAATCCATTTACGGTAGGTTTTACCCTTCAGCCAAGAGACATCACTGCGCCCAATTTTGTGAAAATGTATTAAAAATATATAAAAAAAAAAAAATAGTTTGGACGCCAAAGTACGCAAGCAGACATTGGTCAGGCATACAAGCATGATTCTGATTCGATGTGTCTTAGAAAAGCTAGATATAACTCGAATCTATCTGCGCATAGTTAACCACAAGTATATAAAAAAAAATTACTACTGAGAAACCTGAGCAGAGACCCGAATAGCGAGTCAAACATGCGTATTTCAATCAGAGTTTATCTAAAAACTTATATTATACGAAGGCTTTCCAGTCGCGCTTATAGAAAAAAAAAATGTGTTTTTCAAAATGCTTTAGGAAAAGATACGAATTTTTTAATTAATTTTAAAAATTAATTTGAATTATAATCACACTTTTTATATAAAAATAATGAAACAAATAAGAAAGTTATAAGCGGCCGAGACCGAATTTCGTATACCCTTCGCCATTAAAATTTTTAGCGCCCGCGCAACTCTTTGGAACTAACACACTTAGCTTGTCGCATTCTACTCTTCAAGTCCGTTTGGTTGATACCCACAACGATACCACATTTGTTAAGAAGAGATCAATCAATCAGATTACTGTTGTTGTGGTATGCACTATATTCATCAAGCATTTATTGATGAATTTTTAGGCACAGATAATTTATATTCATTTGGAGAAGCAAGAAAACAACTTTAAATATTCTGTCCTTTTTGCGTTCGGTGAAAAGAAGAAAATATAGTCACTTATAAATTTGTGCGGGCATGATCGGTTTTTTCCATTTTTGCACCATAAAGTAAATGTAGAAAATTTCCGCTTTCTATGTAATGAGCGAAAACGAGAAACGAAGTTGCGTTCAGTTTATGCTTTATTGCGGGTATGCGCCCACTGTCAATACTAACCTGCGGGCAGAGTCTTTCATTGTATTTACCAAATTTTACGGCCGGGAGAATGCCAAAAGCATACACCACAGACATGGCTTAATCGATTCAGAATTTTCCGCTAATCACTTCCTTTTCGCTGTTATAAATATTATAACAAAAAGAGCAAAAGAGCAAGTGTATCCTTCGGTGGTAGGTATAAGAAAACAAAAAGGCGCGTCAAGCATACGCTTGAAGACGTAATCAAGCTTTGAAAGTAATACTGCAACTGCGCGCGGAAACAATGGAATGGAAGAAATTTTATCGAAAATATTTCACAACAAAAGTTTGCAAAGAAATAAGAAACCACCATAAGCTGGCTGGGCTGCAGAAACAGAAAAAAGGGCAAATATTTAGTAAGAGAAAGAGAAGAATGGCTATTGAAGCAATTAAGGATATTAAATAAAGTGTACTTTAAACTTGTAGGTACTTCCCACCCAACTTATTCACTCAATTTATCAAAAGACGTAAAACTCGATGATACTCTTGGCAGGTATTGAAAGGAAAACCCGAGGTTGCTTCTTTTCGTTGCCCAGTTTTTTATTGATGTGAGAATTTTAGAATTTATTGGCATCAGCGATATTTTGATTTTTGGTTTTTCTTCTTTTTTTTCTTCGTTCGATTCTTATCAGCCGAACGGCGCGATGCCGTTCTCAATCTTCTTCACTTGCTCGTTCTTTTCAAGTTTTATGCTTCCCTTTATTGCGGCTTACAAGGTCTTTATATAATGATCGAACTAAATGAAATTCCAAAGTGTATGTATGCGATACCCTTAATTTTATAGAAATGTATTTATAATAATATATATATATATATATATATATATATATACATATTCATAAATTCATTAACATGAAATGCATATGTATATGTAATCATGCATGCGCGATGATATTCTTATGCTTTGTCAGTGCGATTTAAGGGGAATACTTCTCAGCAATAAAACTACACATATAAGCGAACAACTGTGACTTAATCGGGGAAAAAAAAACTTTCAATGATCAAGTTTAAAACGCGCACTCTCCCGATGTGCACGCATGTAAATACGCGTATCTTTAGCATTATGTTCATTTTTGTCAGTTTTCTAAACAAAACCAAATACGAGATAAGGACATATGTATACATATACATGCATATATGTAACTTTATTCGAGTGTATATTTG